AGAAGGGGGGGGGTGAGGGGGTGGAGGGATATAGTCTGAGTAAAGGAACTAGAATTATGCTTATGCCATAGATGAGGTGATGCTTCTCGGAATTCTTTACCACTGGGTGGGGTTTTAGAATTTTCCACTTATTGTTCTTTTGATTTTCCCGACGTGGGTTTTCCTTCTGAGTTAAAAACAGACCACACAAAACCCTCACACTTAAGCAGTAGCAGCGAAAAGAAGCCGGAACAGTTTCGAGCTTGACTCAGACAGGAGAACCCCAGTTTCCGGTCCATCACTCGCGCCGGTCGAGCCACTCACGACGAGCGACGAGAAAAAGACAGCTCTCGCAGCTATTTAAGTCAGGCTCGCGTTTAGCTGGCCAGACTCAGACGGGACCAGTCGTGATTCCCTCCCTTGGCTTGCGCCCTGCGAGAGAGAAACACACAACTCGAACAAACGCACGCAGAGCTCCCAAGGAGACTCATTATTTTGTAGATCTCTCACAGCTAAAGCCCAGTGCTGGTTCGTTCTGACTTAATTCTTATAATCTGGAGATAAAGAGAAAAGAGGGAATACAGAAGCTTTCTCTCAATGGCAGGAATTCGTCGCTTTCTCTGCCCAGGAAGGTAAGTGTTAGAAATGAGAATAGAATCTAGATTTCTTTGCAGCTTAACGTTTTTATATTTTGTTCTTGTTGTTGCTTTTATTTCTTGACCAGTAGGCCTATAGACCAAACAGAAAAAAGGGGGGGAAAGTTCACTCTTCGAGTTTCACCTCTATGGAAGAAAAGAAGAAAAAAAAGCATTGGAGTTAGATACTGATAGCGCTGATCTATTTTTATTTGTCCAAAAGAGAACCTTAAATGGGGCAGTATAGGCACTTATTGTTCAGCTTTCGAGAGCACCTTTTGTGATCGGGTCAGGCGCCCGTGCTAGTCTTTGTACAGCTTAAATCTTAAGTCCGCTTGCCAGACAAAGCTTAACATAGATTTCTTTCTAGAAATAACAGCAATAAAGAAAGAAGAGGTCGAAACTGTAATATAATGTTAAGGAACACGCCTGCAGAAAGAGAGAGAGAGAGCGAGAGAGAGAGAGAAAGAGCGAGAGAGAGAG